ATATTTATGTTTGTGGTTGTAATGTGACAAAATATGGAAAAGTTCAAGGGGTATGAATACTTTTGCAAACCACTGTAGTTCAGTTCGATACCACAATCAAGTGACTACCAGTATGTTACCTTCAGTTGTTACGAAAAAGCTGTTTATATCAAATATAAATTTGACTTTGCATCATAGTCTACCTAAACGCCTTGAAATTGGCCTTTTTCTCTTTAAGAACACCCTGCCATTTCTGACACTCCCACTTCAGCACATCTTCACAACAATCGGGAGGGGTGCTCACGCGCGTCACGTACGTTTTGGGCGGTGCGCAAGGAAGGCGGAAGGGGCGCAGAGCGTTTTCCGCGCATGCAGTGCTGCGGAAGCAGCCGCCGCCGCCAGAGTTCAAAAATCTGAACTTTTCGCCGCTCGACGCATCTCCCACTAAACCGAAACAGACGGACAGGAGATCTTTACCTGAAATTGACCGTCTGCAGTTGGATTTTCTGGCAGGATATATCAGTACCCATGTGGGTCAGCTGCTCAGGACAAAAAAAATAGTCCATCAGGTCGCAGCTTCTGGAGGGGCGAAACTAACCGAACAAATTGCCTCTAAATCATCTGGTGAGTTAATTATCTGCTGTGCGCAACGTTCACTTGCTCTTTAGTAAATAAATCAAAGCCATTTTCTTTATTTTTATCTTTATTTCACCCACTGAGGACAGACTGGGAAAAAACCAGGACGCTCCTCCCTCTTCAGATATTCATTTGGTCTGTGTCCCGGTCTGAACATAGTGCGTCCAGCTGGAGGCRTTATGCGCTTTTTTGCTGCTCAAAACACGTTCGGTGTGAACATAGCATAAGAGTTTAGGTAGCTCCACGTGACTACCACAGGAAATTCAAGGATTTTTCAAGCATGCATGAACGAGTCAAAGCAACACTCTGGGTATGCTTTTCATAAAGGGAATGACAAAACACTAAAAAAGTTTTGAATAATACCACCCCTTTAAATAGGCACTTTGATAAATGCATTGTCCAGCCCCACAGTGCGTGAGTCAGGTTTTTGTGATCTTTAGTCACACTTTTAATGCTTAGACGCCCTATTTGAAATCGATCTAAATGTTTTATCAAGTTTGTTTTCTGCTTTGGTTTGAAGAATTGTGACACGCTCCATGTCTACAGGGCTTTGTGACTTTTTTATGGCGTTGTGTGTGTAATGCAGCACTTGCTTCCTAATGTTCAACTTTTGATGACCTCTAAATCCTTAATGGGTGGTCCAATTGTAAAAAACTAAACAGTTTTGGAATCAGTACATAAAGCCATACTAGTAAAAAAAAATTAAAAAAACTCTACAATACATTTGAAAATTGTTTTAAAGTCCATACTTTAATGTCAATTTATTTATGCAGCACAAAAAAACAACAGAAGTGCATCACTATTCAGCCAAATTAATAAAACATACTTTAAAAGAATGTAGGACTTTAATTTATTATAAAAATTTCACTAAGAGACACATTAATTACACAAAATGGCAAAAAAATGTTTGTTTCAGGGGCAATAAATGTATGTACAGCACCCTGTGAATTTATTTCTGTGAAAGGTGCTATAC